CTTGAACATTATTGGCTACCATATTTGCTGACTCTGACTGTAATAAAGTAGATTTTCTATTCATAATACAAATTCTTATTCAAATTATTCAAATCACTCGTTTTATTCATTTTATTTGTTTTATTTGAATTAATCATTTTAATCAAATAATCATTTTTAATCATTTATTCGTTTTATTTAAAGACATGAAGGTTTTTGGCATTGTGTAAATATATTTGGTTAGGTTATTTAATTAAGTTTCAATTAAGTTTATTATTTCTCTAGATCCACATCAAAAAAAAAAAAGACAAAACTTTTTTAATAATTTGATTCAAAATGATGGTTACTCCAAGTCATTTAGGTCACTTAACATCACTGAACTGCTTACAATTGCCTAGGCTAAATATACAGTAGACATATTAATGTATTATGCACATGCACAATTTGCATCAAGATTAGCTTCATCTTTCTTTAAATAATTTTCAGTTGTCTGAGTATCATTTATTTTAAAAACATAAGAAGCAATTTCACCTTGTTGCTTTTTCAAAACGCATCTGATAATACAATAATTCTTGGGTTCAATGATAGATTGGTTCATATATTCTAATTTCCCACCACAATCAGTTAAAAAACAATAAGGGTGGTGTATGGTATTTCACCATTTGTGCTGAAACATCCCCACACTTACCCTAATATGCGTTTTCCCAATGTCGAACTAGAGTCAAGTTCAACAGGATCTTCTTTCCCTGCTGATCTTGCTAAGCCCATTATTATATACAGCACATACATTGCTGTATTCAATTTATTATTTTCAACATGTTATAATATAAAATATTTTTCTCTCTTTTTGGCCCCTAAAAATTTGATCAATTTGTTAATGTTTAGAACATATCAAGAAACAAAAATAATATAAAATAGAAATGATACATACTCAGACAAGAGTTCTTTGAACTTATAAATTGCAGATTTTGTGGATCTGATATCCCAGATAGTGTTTTGAGAAGCCACTTGTGAAACAATGTTCAATTGTTCTGTCAATTGATCTGCTTCAACCAAATTTTGATAGAATATATCTTGTTCGTCAATTGCATTTTCATCCAAATTAGAAATTTCATTCATTAGACAAATAATCACACAATGAATGTAGATGATTGTTGGTTGGATCAAAATACATTTTTGGTACAACATAAAATTGCATCACCCGAGTAATGATAATACCAAGACCATGCAGTGATTTGAAAAAAAGCCACATAAAGATGTCCTTCCTGGTGGGTGGAGGACGAGGAATTTGGTAGAGTTTAAGGATAAGCAAATCCTTTTTCTCTACTTGGTTCCCTTTTCTTGCGTGTGTGCACTTTTCAATTGCCTACAATCATAAATTGTAGAGCTTTTTTAAAAATTATTTCCAAATGAATAAATATGATGTTTATTATAAACAGGGTTGGCATTGGACATGTTCAAATGTGTTGTAATTTGGTGTTTTGATGATGGAGGTTGGGTTGGTGATGAATTTGATCGGGTTGGTGATTGAGATTGAGATTGGGATTGGGATGGTGGAGTTGGAGTGAAGGTTGGATGGTGATGCTGTTGTTGATCCTACACTTAATATTACTATTACGTGTGGATTATTGTCAGCATATGGTGGTGGTGAATTTGGATTGATAGCTAAAGCCAACCCTGATTATGGGTGTCAGATTTATAAAATTTTCCTTTCACCAACAAGCAAGCGTCATGCGATTGCAAACCTCAATAACTATAGAATTCTAATTTTCTACAGGTGAGGCAATTGAACAAGTTGGAAAGGCTTCAGACAAGCAAGAAGCTTTAAAATAACAGTGATCAATAAACTTCAGAGCATCATTACCCCACCCCGAAGTTTAATTCCATTATTATATCATCAGGGGATCAAGTCAGATTAGCCTTTTTTCACAAGGAATATGTGAATAATTGTAATATTTGAAATGCAATAAAATTTTGCATATCAAATTGTTTTTAGTGTCCCCAGGTTGCCCAATAGCAGTTTCCTACATGTGTGTAATATATATATATTTGATGGTTAAGTTATTGCCTTATAATCATTTTAATGATAATAATGAATGCTCACACAAAACAAATATATCAATTGTTTGTTTATTATCACACATGCCAAGGAGAGTACTTGAATAAGCTTCTCCTTACTGCATTCTGCAGAATGTACTTAAAAATATAGATATCCTACCTTTTATTAAGTGTGTCCCCAGTGAGGCAACTTACTGATATAGGATTTGGCATGCGTTATCTGTTGAAATATATTTTAATAATAATATTATGATATTTATTATTATTAAAAATATACCAGTCATTTTTTTATTATAACACGTTACAAGGAATCTTATTTTCAACCTCCTTATTTCCCTATTGAAGGAGAGTGCTTTCACAAGCTTCTCCTTACTGTCTCCACCCTCAGATTCTGTAAAGTATAGATATCCTTCCTACCTTTTATTAAGCATGTCCAGTGAGGAAAATAACCTGCTATTTTCTGGGTGACACTGTGGAAGAAGACTTGCTGGTATTGTCAGGACTTGCAGAAGAGCCATGTACCAACCAAGGAATAGAATCTGGCGTGCATTATCTGTTGGAACGTATTTAATAATATTATTATAATGTTTATTATTATTTTGTTTTTTTTTAAAATAATGTTGTTTCACAGTGTAAAATAGTAAATTATAAATCACGGGAAACGAACATATAAATCGGAAATGATTTACAAAAAGTTACACGCAAATAAAATCGGAAAAACTGATCAAGTAATCAAAACCGTTCAATTTATTCAAACACCAATAAAATAATTGACTCACGGAAATATTGGAAATGTAAATATTCCAACATTCTAAATGTAACGAATTACAAAGTCTCAGAATAATATTTAAACGAAAGAATTTTACATGACTCATGTTGACTAGAAATTACTTGAAAATAATTCTACATGGAAGGTTTAAAGAATACATTAATTAGTATAATTTAGGATTTTAAAGAAATTGGAGAACTAGATGATAGAACCTCTAAAATGTATAAATACGTTGTAAATTTCTCTTTCATGTAATCTTTAGTTAGTTTTTAACTCAAATATTATAATAAATAAACCTTGACCTTGACCTTGACCTTGACCTTGTTCTTGTCCTTGTTAACTTCGAACATTATATTTTCATAATGATAATAAATCTATTCCTAATGACGAATTTATACTAATCCCGTGCATAATTATTTTCTCTTATTCTATATTTGTCTCTATTAATTTTATTATTTTTTTTATTTCTTTTCTTTTCCTTTAGTGCTTTTAGTGAGGTCAGTTAAGAGACTGAATAATAAATATAAATAATCAGTGTAAAAGTATTGTGGCGGATACTTCGGATATTATAAATATCATTAAGTCATGCTGGCTCAGGCAGATAACAAAGAACTGCTGAGAAACGTTACCAGAAGGGAAGTAAGGAAACTTGCCCTGTAAATAATTAAATAGCTTGAGCGCTATAGTGAAAGAAAGTAATCAAAGAATTAAATAATTGGATACTGCCATAAGAAGGGATAAATAATATTTTAACCAAATCCAAGAGATTTGTGTGAGACACAGATTTTGATCTCACAACAGTGATCAATGATTTTTATGGCGTAGCTGTGAAATTATCATTGTCCCCATGGAATAACTGATTTGTCCCATGGAGACTAATGTCCTGTGATTTAAAAAAGTTTATTTTATTGTTTATTTTTTATAAAATAAAAAATCTACTCATTTCTTTTATCCCAACCCATTTACTAATGTGAGTGCTCTTCGCCTTTCCCAAAAAGTTCCAGAGGCTTCAACATCTACTTTGCTTCAAATCGAAATGGCTGATTCTGTTTCTCAAGATACTTTAATATCATTTGAAATTCAAGTTAAACTTAATTTTTATCGTCAAGAAGCTTTATTAAACAAAAAATCAACACCTTGCTACTATGAATATTTTAACTCATGTCATAGAACCATCAAGTATGCCCAAATTTTCTTTGGATGATATTCAAAAGAAATTTTCTATTTTTAATTGTCATTTTAATATTGTGTTTTTTTAAATCTTAATAATTAATAATTTATATATATGCAGCAATTCTTTGTAGCATGGACAATAAAGTGAAATAAATAGGATCTCAGACAATCATATTTGAACTGGTATGTAAGAAAACATATAAAAAGTTGTGAAAAATACTCTAAATATCTTACTAAAAATGGCTAGCAAGTTTCCTTTTTGGGCCATTTTTTTTAAAAACCCAATTTTTATTATGTAAATGCTTGAAGATCTGACTGGTGTTTTAACGAGATCACTACCCACTTTTCTCAATACCAGTTCAATTATAATTGTCCGAGGTCCTAAATAAATTATATTTCCACAGTTTTCAAAATATCACTATGAGGTTGATTTATGAACCAATTTATTCTTTGCATTTATTATCACTTTTATATACAAGTAGATGAAATTTATATAGATCTTGATTAAAAGTATTAATTAAATCATTATTTGTTTGTAATGAATAAAAATAATTTTGACATTAATTATAATATTTCTATATTCTTTGGAATCCTACATTTAAATTTAATATAAAATCTTACTACAAATCTCCTCTTATCATTATTTTTATATTGATAATATAAAGTGATACATTTATTGTTGAAGACAGCATCTATTTACATTGAAGATAATGATATTTCATTCTCCTCCAAGTTCTCACTAGTCGGTACTTTTGTAAGGTTGAATTTGGATTTCGATGATTACTTTCATATTGTCACCAATTAATTTTTGGGAGAGCGTATTTTAATTGATGATAACAAATTTTTATTATTTTATGTGGATTTGATAAAAATGATTTATTTGATTTTGTATTTAGTCGAAACTAATTATTAAGTTAATTTGTTACAAAGTTATTCTTCAATTACAGCAAATTCTCATTCCTTATATACATGTTTGATTATATGTATCCTAGTTTAGGATAATTAGCCTAGATTAAGATATTTATCCTAATTCAAGATAATTCTCCTAAGTTAGGATAATTCTCTCTTTCCAGGATAATTATCCTTCTTTGTACACAGGATAATTCTCCTAATCTAAGATATATATCCTGATTCAGGATAATCTTCATTAATTTCTACTAAATAAAGGTCTAATGCGAACGTGTTACTAATTAATTAATTGAATCATTCGGAAATTATTACAAAATAAAAATAGGATAAAATAAATAATAGATGAAATAAATAACTAAAAATAAATAATAAATAACTAAAAATAATAAATAAATAAAATAAATAATATAAATAATATAAAAATAATATAGAAAATGTTACTCCAGATTTTCGGGGTTATTGATCAGCGAATTAAGGTCCAATTCGCATTCCGGTGACAATATGTTTTCTACTTTTTAATATAAAATTGCCTAGAGATTCTCCATAATTAAAAGATTGATCTGGATTTAAATTACCCTTTTGTTTTTCATGTAATTTATCAGCACCTTTTAGTTGCAAAATTGTATTGATTAAAAATGGGCTTGGCAAATGTGAAGGGGTTTCTTGATAGGGTTTTTGAGGAGTTTCATTATTATTCCAATGTGCTACTAAAGAAGGCAAAATGTTGGATAATAACTTTTGTTTTTCTTCAAAATTGTTTGAGTTTGCAACATCTGTGATCCAGCTTCCAATTTTCCTTAAAGCTTGCTCCAAATCATTTTTATGTGAGCATTTTTTTGATGCTTTTCCTTTACCTGGTGGATTATAAATATGACATTCATTTTTATAACAACAATCTTGACAAATATATCTAGGGAGAGCATTAGCAATATTGTTGGATTTTTTGTTTAAAATTCATTAATTGTAGATGGACATGTAAATTGACAAATGCATGATGTTAAGATCTTCCTATCACTTATTTGCCAAGAATGTTTATCACAATAATTGCCTCTTGAATAAATATTAAAAATCTTATAGCAGAATAAACATCTCTTTGATAGCATTTTGCTTGATTAACTAATTTTTCCTGTTTTGATCCACTATGATGATATGAGGGAGTTTGATCTAAGTTAAAATGATACTTATAGACTCCAAGTTTTCCTAACTCCTTATCTGCATCCTTGACACTAACTTCATTAATTTCCCATACCCCAATGCATTGTTGTAGCCTTCTATAACTATTTTGAGTGCAAGGCATGCTACATCCTTTTTCTAAATCAAAAATCATTAAAGAACATTGTGGAAAATAGTCATCTCGAATAAATTTTTTTAATTCGAATTATGATAAAAAAATGAAGATCTATATTTTTTTAATTTGAACTATTGACGTGTGCACCATAATTTTTTTCCCTTTTAAAAATGGAATTTCCAACTCAAGGGAATCAATGTTCATTTAATACTTGCAAACAACTTGGTAAATTAAACTCAAACTATTAATTTATATTCACAATTGTTAACCTGTAAAAAAAAATTAATAATAAATTATTAATAATAATTTGTCAAAGAGATTTCTTACCATTTTTATGTGCTAGTTGTAAATTAAAATATTGGTTTGTATTTTTATTGATTCAAATATACATATATATTTTTTTTTAAATTAAATAAATAAGCAAATATTATCAAAAAAAAAAAAAAATAAAGTTTGGATCATAGATATCCAGATTCTCATCAATGTTCACATTGGGAAATTGACAAAAAGGTAAGCTGATATATATAATATTTATTATTGTGAAAATTTATTTTTTACTTATTACATATAACAAATAGAACGCAGAAGTATGCTTGAAATGTTCCAGAATGATTCTAATTCCACAAGGCAAATCTAACAAAGAAATTGTATATATCATTGGTAATGATTATATTTTTATAGCATTTAAGTGTACATGTTTTTAATCAAACAAGAGCTTTGATTTAAATTTAGTTAGAGGAGCATCACTCATCAATCTGTACTCTGCATCTACTTTCTACTTCTGAATTATTATCCAAACAACAATGCAAACTCATTGAATGTACTAACAATGGTGATGGTTCATTGGTTTATGTGATTTGTGATGGATGTGGAAATAATTTTTGTTTAAAGTAGGTAAAGCAAGTAAATAATTTACAAGCGAAAGAAGAAGGCAAATGTTTTATTTTATTAATATTTTTTTATTTTTCAAATAAATATATTAAAGACATCGTCACCCATTGGCTCATAATTGTTCTTCATTGAATGCTAACTCTGAGAAAAAAGCAAAAAGGCGTGCTTTTGCAGAAGAGATGATAAAAAAATATATTAAAACCCCTGGTAATGATATTAAAAGTAGTGATAGATCTTTTGGGGGAAATGATGATACAAAAACATTGTCAACAACAAAAAAAACAACTAGTAGCATCAACAGTAGCAACAATAATAATAATAGTGGTGTTAGTAATTCAATAACAAAAAAGAAGGGTAATAAAAAGGTTGAATTAATGTTAATGAAATCTAAAGCCCAAGTAATTATAAATATAGATATGTTTATTTCTTATGATAAAAAAAGGTTTATATACTAAGAAAGCATTAAATCATAATAAATATTTAGGGTAATTCCTCAATACCAATGACAGATAGATTATATCTTTTGGTTAATTTTCCAAGTGATTCGAATTTAGCTTCAAAGCCTTTATTCTTCAATAAGGTAATTTAATTGTAATTTCTTTTTTCACATGCCAGAAAAAATCATAATAATAAAATCTAAATTTAATTTATCTGAAAGGATTGGTCAGTTGGAAAAGTTCTTGATCAGATTGCAATAATTGGTAAAATCAATAATAACAACAATCATATTTCAATGAATGATCCAAAAGTAAGCAATTTATATTTATATATTATATTTATATTATTATATTTACATTTATATTTATTTTTATATTTATTTTCCAGAGATTGGTGTTAATAAACAAAAAATCAAATTTAACCTTAGAATCAAACAAAAAATTAGAAAATGTTGTTGAGAATTGTGATGATGTGGTTTTGGAAAAATTAGGAAATTTAAATGAATTATTGATTTATCCAACCAACAATGTATCGTAATAAATATTCTTTGATTCATTACATTATCACTGCATATGCTCATTCAATATAGTACCCTTTTTTTAAATTGTTGTGTGACAAAGTGAACATTCTGTTCAAAAAAATTTTTTATTAGTATTAGTGGTGGAATTTTGCTAAAATTTAGAAATACTTTGCTTGATTCCATGTTATATTACAGCACAATCAATTGGTTGTAGTAACAATTGGTCAGCTTCAAAATACTAAAAAAAAAATTTCATGTTGCTTTAAGGGTGCTGACACATATTAACTAATAGCTTACCCCCATCCCAGAGACATTTTGATCACGTGTAGGTATCAACAAAGCACAAGTGAATTAATTTTATTTAATAAATAAATCAAACATTTTAAAAGCAACATTGGAGTAAAAAAATTTTCCTTTATAATATATTATGATCTCTTGAAAATTCCTGGGTATGATTTGCATTGACTATTTCTTGACCAAACAACCTATTTGGTTCCGAGTGTATAATAACTCTTACTTATTTGAAAATTACAAACAATGCATCCTGTTAAAGGAAAATCTAAAGAACAAAACTTGAGGATTCTTGATGATTTCTCTCTTCTCAATCACAACCAAATTGACCTCTTTTTGACAAAATATATTTAAGGAAATGTATATCAGATAAAGAATGATCAATTATAGCATTTATGTATATGAGAATGTGAGAATTTTATAAATATTACAGTCGACCCCCTAAATGCATCCCCATAAATGCACACCATCTCTAAATGCATGCACGGTTCCCAACTATATAAAATCATCCTCCCTAAATGCACGCCCGTGAATTTCACGTGATTTTATGTATAACATTAATTTGGGTTTGACTTAATTCCCAAAATCTCAATTCTTGACTCAATTACCTATATGTTTTTCATATGACTCAATTAATTGCACCCAATTGAGCATGTTAGCCAAAGTTGGCTCTCTTAATAAATGATCATCACTGAATTTGAAATAAGGTTACTTGCTGAAACCTCTTAATGACTGACAAAACTCTGAAAAAACTAATGAACAATTAGTGTACACCTTGTCAAAACTCTGATGATTGACATAACCCCCAAATACGAAACTCTGCCAAAACCAAAACTCTAATAAACAATTAATGTGTAACTTGTTGGAACTCTGTCGATTGATTTCTGGAGGAGTTTCGTCCACAACCTTAATCTGAAATGGCGAATTAATTTACAAAGATGCTGAAATTAATTTTATTAGTTGCCAAATTATATCTGAAAAGAATATTGTAAATCTAAAATTGCTTGCCAAAATTGATTTTTTAAAAAACCATTTTGGCTAACATTCTTATCAACCTATTTTATACAAGTTTGGAAACTGTCCATATAATGAAAAGCAAATGAGTTAATTCTCTTGAAAAATATATTAACCTAAAAAAAATAAGAAAAATAAAAATAAAAATTTGGCTGTTAACACAGAAAAATCTAACAGTAATGGTTCAATTCAAGAACAGTTCTCACCAATTACTCCTGCCACCACCGAAAACAGCGAACTTGAAAACGTTAACAAAAACCCTTACATGGAGGTAATTTATAAAAGATTAAGAGCTATGAGAAAGCGCATGGTATGTTATTATATTTCTTTTATATATATATGTTCTATTTCAGCAGTTTGATTTAATCGTGCAGCTGCTATAGTATCGGTTACATCATCAGTTGCTAGCCGAACACTTTCTTGAACAGTTTGATTTTGTGAAGTTTCTTCGATTGATGTTTCTATTTCTGGTTGGATTTGCAATTTTTCATCTATTGGAATTAATAATCGTTAAGATTTCATTTTATTAGTAAACAACCGTATAATATAAAATAAAATTATTGTACCTTGATCTAAATCACTTTTATTGATATTAGATGTACTATTATTATCTTTGAAAGTGAAAATTTTAAATTAGTATATCGATAATTATATATATGTGTGTGTGTGTGTGTGTGTGTATATATATAGATAGATAACAAACCAGCAGTATTTTCTGTTTCTTTGTTGATGATGACAACTTC